AAAGCTTTGTGGGCATCCCCTCTGGAAGGTCTTCCCTTTTCCATGTGCAGTGTGCTCATGTGGAGCCCTGGGTTCTCCAATGGACTTGATCTGTGCTGTGGAACTCCCTGGCATGGGGCTTTTGAGGAGATCTAAATCTGTACTGAACAAGATGCTGTCAGGTGTAGAGCTGAAAGGAGAACTTTTAACTTAAAAAAGAGAGACATGAATTTGTAGAGGCTAAGATTCTCATTGTCAAAATAGACTCTGAGGTGAATTTTGTAGCTGGGCTGAGGCAGAACATTTGGGGAGGCAAGAGCAGCAATAAAACAGCTCTTGAGAGTTTTGTTTTTTGATTTCAGTTGCCAAATTCCTTAAAGTATCAAATAGATAAGGCCCTGGTTTTTCTCATCTGGAAATGTAGTTATTAGAATAAATGATTCTTAGCAGCCTTTCCAGCCCCCAAATCTGTGGTCACTATTATTATAGAAAGTAGACTATGTTTGCTTAAGGAAAAAAGCAAAACCTAGCAAAATATTAAAGGTAAAGAGAAAGTAATTTAACGGTTGGAAAAGAGCAGCGATGAGAAAAAACAATGGTGTTGTTGAATAGAATAAACAGAGGTCTAGACATGAACTCTTGAATACAAGTGGGATATTCTATTATACCTGGAGACTCTTTTCTTCTGTGCTCAGTTAGGGAGGAAGCAGAAGGGAATGGGATGATGTTTTCAGGAATGCAGTGGACTTTTCAAGAAGAAAAACTGATTGACACCTATTTGAATTGGATGTACCATGTTCTTCTACCTGGAAGCAGATGGCTTAACCTGTGGACTGCTCTAGGCTCCCCCTGAATTGCCCACTGAAGATGTGTATTTATAATATATTCATGTCTGTGTTGACAAAGATGGTTCATTCAGTCTGTGTTAACAGATAACTTGCCAATTAGCCTGGTCAGGCTAGTTCATGTGTCACAAGGGGACTCCCTAAACTTATAGTGCCTAGGTATAGCTGCTGTTTCTCTAAAACTGCAACATAGAGAAGAAACTTGGATGTTATCATAGTACTTTTTTTTTCTTTTATAAAGTTATATTCAGGCTTCAACAATGGCTTTGCCCCCTGCTAACTAGGGCATCTTCAAAGGCTCAGCCATGGATAAATACAAAGTCTCATCCTCATACATTTGCTTTTAGTTGCTATAGTTCTATGGAAAATTATGCTACAATTCTAGAAGACTGTTCATTTCATCTTTTTATTATACTCTCATTTTCTAATATGAAAATACTTTGTAATAAAGAATAACTCTATTAATTGGAGCAGTAAACACATTACCATCCTGACAGGTGACTTTCTGAATAAGGTTTTGGCAGAGGAAATCAATTTCTATGTGCCTACAGCTCCTCAGGGACCCAAATCTGGGCATTGCTAGTTAACAGAAGCCTCTTGACTAATTGTAATGATAATGACACACATACATCTAAATAATCACCATGAGCATATTCCTGTAGCACCAAATGTGAGTACAAAATAGCTCTGAATAGTATGGGACTCACTTCATTTCCACCTCTCTTCCTAGTCTATGCTGATACGAAAGCATATTGATGTCAACATTCTAATCTGCACAGCTCCTGTAGGGTTTTACATTGCATAACCTCATGTGTAGATCCAGTTTGTCTCCTTCAATATTTTGCAGTTCCACTTAACATTTCCAGCATGTAATTTTGATTGTCTGTCTTTGGGAAAAGGCTGTGAGCAGAACAGAATAAAGAATGACCTCTTTTCTTTTTTATCCAAATACAAAGGATGTTTGCTTATGTGTGTGGGTGTGGGAGCAGCATTGCAAGGATGCATTCAGGTTGCCAAGGTCTCTGAGTTATACTGCCACTGGAAGGAGCATGTCCACATTTAGGTGCTTCTATCCTCCAGGGCCCTGGAGAAAGCTTAGGAAATAACTGAATGGGTATGTGACCACTAACATCATGAGGCCAGGGAAGAGAGAACACCACTCTCTCTTTGAACCCAATGCCTGCCTCTTCTCTAAAGCTCATTTAAGATGACCTCCTTGTGTTACACTGATATTAATGGATAAAGTAAACAAGGATGTTTCATGTTGGGGTTCTCAAAATATTTTCTCCTGGACCACTTCCACTGAAGCAGCTGGGTTATCTGTTACAAACCAGATTTCTGGCCTTTACCCCAAACCACAGGAACTGGTATATCCATGGGTGGGGCCAGAGAATCTCCATTTCAAAGAATTTTTTTTTTTTACACAGATGTTTGGGAACCATTGACCTATGGTTAATGGAGAAGAGTTAAAGTTTCACTTATATTTATTCTGACTTCCATTGTATATAATTAATAGATACAACTTGAAGTGTTCTCTTTTGCAAATAGTAATATGTGAAACATTTCTCAAATGGTGCATTTTCTAAGATGTCCTAAACCATATTCTTTCTTCCATGCCTGCTTCTCAGTTTGGTCATACTTACCATTTTTTTGGGGGGGATTTTTTACCTTAATAACACAATACAATAATATTTCTGTATTAACCACTTTAGTTACTGTCAAAAGGCTAACCTAGATTACAGAGAATTGTGGTTTTTTACCATTTTCCTGTCAGAGAACTAACTGGCAATTAATGTGGCTATACCTTCAAGTCTGGGAGACTTCTTGGTATCATTATGAAGAACATGCATTTTATTCAGATTGCACATACAGATTCAATCAACTGCAGATCAAAAATATTTGGAAAGAATTGTATCTGTACTGAATATGCACATGCATTTTCCTTTTCATTACTCTCTAAAGAATATTATAACAACTTTTTACACAATATTTTATGAGGTATCATAAGTAATCCAAAGATGATTTAAAGTATATGGGAGGGTGTGAATAGGTAATAGACAAATACTGTACCATTTTGTATAAAGGATTTTGGTATCTTTGGGCAGGTGGTGAGGATAGTATCCTGAAACTAATCCTTCACAGATACCAAGGGATGAATGTACTTTATATTGAATGTTATTGATATTGCTGCTGATTTTGGACTTATTTTCTCCAGAGATGAAAGAAAATACTCCACATATGGATGAGAGTAAATTGGTATTGAAACAGAGTTATCCTCTATCCTCTCCACATTGAGTAATTTATTCCTGCATAACAAACTTCTCATAGCTTAAATGTCTTAAAACAACCACTCTTTTATTATTACACATGGTTTTGTGGGTCAGGAATTCAGGTAGGGCTTGGCTGGGCAATTCCCCTGCTTTATAAGGCCTTGCCTCGGATCCTTCTACTGTTTCTGCTGAGATTGAGCTGATCTGGAGGATCCATGATATTTCACTCTTTTTCTTTTGCACTTTGGTAGGAAGTTTCTTTTTTTTTTAATTTTTTATTTTTTTATTGGTTGTTCACAACATTACAAAGCTCTTGACATATCATATTTCATACATTAGATTGAAGTGGGTTATGAACTCCCAATTTTACCCCAAATGCAGACCAGAGACATGCTCCATAAAAGAGGAAGTAGAAATTGGTCTGGCCAGTACACTGGTACAATATGACTGGTGCTATATTTATTCATCAAAGCTATGGTAGAAGTTTTCCAGATTTAAGGGGAGAGAGATAGATTGACTTTTGAAGAGTCTGGGTTCATTTTTATTATGTCACATTCCCTGAATCCTAACTCAATCCAGGCCTATACTCTTTTTAGGGGATTGTAGCAATTTCACACAATTAATCCTATTTTCTACCTAAAAGCACCAAACACACTAAAGAAAGTTCATGATCCATTAATGGGTACACTCCATAGCATGCAAAAGCACTGCCCTAGATGTTAAGCTTCATGCGGCCAGGGACTCTGTCATAGTCATATGGTGTACACAGTGCTTAGAAATTTCTGGTATATAGTAGGTACTCAAGAATTTAATAAAAAATATAAATTTCATGATAATAGTTCCAACTTATTAAAATGGAAATGATTATAACTGCAAGTCAAGAAATCCAAGGTCAACTCCTGACTCTTAAATCATTGTGTATCCTTGAGGAATAACTTCAAATCTCAATTTTCTTTACCTACAAAATAGATATCTGGTATTCATGAGGAGAAAATGACTTCATAAATGCAAATCTACTTTGAATAAGAGATATAGAATCACAAATAACAGATGAATGCATTTGTTACTTACTTTGGAATGCATAGGCATATTATATATAATTTTCATTTTGTTATATAGTACGATTTCACTGATTTGGATTAACTAATTAGGGTAATACTCCTGAAACACTTAAAATACGAATTTAGAACTTTTAAGAGGAAGGAAATTTATTTAAAGTATCATTGAGTAATAAAATAGTCTAAAAATGTTGGGTTGGGCAGATACCAACCTGGAAGCACTAATTGGATCATATCAGGTTAGCATACTGAGAACAGCTTAGGCAGGTCCATTGTAGTCACAGTACATTGTTTTTGTGTAAATGGAAATTTCTAAATTTCTGAAGAGAGACTTGGCTGGGTAAAGGGCCCTTGTTGTTCCTTTAGGAATTTGTTCATTCACATATATATTAGGAAATGCTGCCATTTCTGAATTATTGGTCTGGATATATGAGATTCTGAACAAAGTCTGTGGGAGACTTAAGGACTTTGCTGACTTGTTCCAGCAACAATCTAGAGATTTGAGATATCAACAGAGACCAGAGGTAACTCATCCTCCACAGGGAACCTCCTTTCACCCTCCCTGTAAAGTCTACCAAAAACCTAGCATCATGAGAACTCTCCCAGCTTGCTCTCTGAGAGAGGTTACATGATACTGTAGTCAGGTCGCTGGCTTTGAAATCAGAGGTTTTTGACCCTAAAATCAAGTTCAGCCACTTTTAAAATGTGTGAGCCTAACTGGGTTTCTTTACCTCAAAGAGTTATGAACATTAAATAAAATATACAGTACACACACACACACACACACACACACATATATCATATTTAACAAAATTCCCAACACATAGAAAATACTCAGTACATGATAGTTCCTGTTAGACATTGTTATTGTTTATTGCCAGTTCTTTCTTGTCTGGACTAGCTACTTGTTACAATTGGGCTACAAAGGAAGACATTTTTCTGAAGAAATAAGCATGTTTCTTTATTTTACAGGTCTTACCATATCCTGGGATTCAACCATTGTGAAACCTGGGGATTTAACTGGAAAGACAGTAAGTCCCCACCCATGGCAGCTAAGGAGCTATGATAGGTACAGTGTATCACTGAACACATGTGCTCAGTCTGCCAGTCTTCCTTCTGTTTGCTGGGGGAGGGTTGCTTTGTGAAATTCTGTACTTTGTTGAAGAAATTGGGGCACTGATGTGATTGCTCACCCTGTGATGCTGAGCTATTTTGAAGTATCCTTTCTAATTGCCTTGAGGCAAAATGGTGAAGTAGTCATTTGTCTCTGTCACTTCTAATCCTCCCTCCCTCCTCCTGGCTCCATTCCCCTTCTTTCTCCTCCTCTCCCGTCTGTCAGTGCAATTCTCTTACCAAATACCATAAATTAGCTGAAAGTGGTTTAAAAGGCTGTCCCCTTCAGGTACATTTGTGCTTTAGAAAACTCTATAAAAGAATTAAGTCACTGATTCTCGAAGGATAGTGTTTCAGACATCTGCTGGCCAGTAGGAGAGGGATCTTTGGACTGGGCAGATGTCCTGGGGTCCTTCAGTTCACACTGCCTTCTCAGCTGGCTCTCAGCTGAAAAAACATGGTGTCATTGAAATAGGAAAATCTATTCCAGCATTTTCCAAGGTGTCTTCCATGGGAAGTGAAATGGTTTTAGTGTGGTCAAATACTTTTAAGAAATTCTGAATAACATTGTGAATGAAACATTTTCTTGCTGTAGAAGTTTTTCAAAACTTTTAACAGGCTCATGGTAAAGAGAGTACTTTAAACTTTTAAGAGGGTATTTAGGCTGTAGCATTTTTTCCATTTTATTTTATTATTTTCCCCTTTCATTTTGCAGGAAGCACCCTCACCATCTGTGTGACATAGGATATACTTTACAAGTACCAAACTTGTCCAACACTCCAGTCCAATGAGTAAACTGAGACAGGGACAATACAATATCTTGCATAAGGTATTAAAGTGATCACTGAACAAGATCAGAGGTCAGGTTATTTGGCTCCACAACAGGGTCAAAAACCCTAATCACAATTATAGGTTAAAGGTCCTTCTTCTCTCTTAGTCTGTACATAGTGCTCAAACAGAAAGTTTGACTCTCCTGCTCTCCACCATATCTTTAACTCTTAAGAAATTATCTGACACACAGGTATGGTGATAATTAGTACTTACTAATATTGAATTGAGAGTGCTCATGGGGGCAGACATAAGTTGCCTGTTCCTGCCAGCCTGGTCTCTACTTTGATGCTCTATGTAAGAAAGAGTCAATGTTGAGTCCATACTTACACTGAGAATATGTGGTTCCCGTTCCACTGACACTGAACCTGTTGAGGTGCAGTCTGTGTGTGACCACATTCTTCTGGGGTTGGAACAGGATGATGTGCACCTTGGGTGCAAACAAACAGCCCAAGACCACAAAGCCACTCAGGCTAACGGAGATGCACATGGTTGTCGTCTGCACCTACAAGACAAGAAAGGGTTGGCTAGTAATTGTATGCTGCAAATTCCAGCTGGTCACTACCTACAGACAGGACTAAAGAGACCAAAGAGAGAAACCAGAATCAGCCATAGTTGTATTCTTATTTTAGTTAAAACTATGTAGTAATTATATTGGATCTTCTGTGTTTGTGATATGGAAACATGGCTGAGGACTTATTTATAAGCAAACTTCCTTTGTGTGGGTTGCTCCTGAATGGTTGCCAAGTTTTCACATGGATTTTCTTTTCTTTTCTATCTATAAAGATATTTATGCAGAACCACTGAAGTAAAAATCTTCAATAGTAAAACATAAATATTCTATGATGAAGTGGCCAGATTGCCGACAATTTCTGTCAATGAACTCGGCTTACTTAAGTTTCACTACATTATGAATCAATTTGGACTTTAATATTTTCCCATCCTCCTTTCCTGCTGGGAGTTCCGCCTATCAACCATATTGGGAGAAGCTGTCAACTTCTTTGTGTGCTAGTATTTCTTTTATATATTTTGTTGGCATCTTTCTGAATTTTGGTACTTCAGGTATTCACCATAAATCCTTGTGTTCTCTAGGATTCTATACTCCATCCTTGACAGAATGTTTAATTCTCCTCCTCTTTGCTTCCTCTGGAAGTATACCTTTGAGTGGGAACTATCATCTCTTCTTATTGTTTTGCTCTCTTCTCTGATTTTATCATTTCTCTTGGTTTCTATTCCCATAGATCTACTGAAAAATTATGCATTATACCCCACTTATTTTATCACCTTCAGTACTGAAAAGTGATCAATTAATGACTTCTTCTGCTAGTTTTGTGAACACTTACCACATATACTTGGAGGTTCCTAGTTATTCTAGTATAATTTTGGATTTACTTTTTCTTCCTCCTAAGGCAAATGTTATTATCAAATAGCATAATTTCTAGTGTCCTAAAGTCTATGATCTTCATTTCTAATCAAGAAAAGCTGAACTGAAGACTGAGCAATTGATTGGAGAAGGCACATACATTTAGGAGGCTTCATTCTGGTATTTATTTACTTTGGGGGGGAGATATTGGGGGATGAACTAATGAGCCACATCCCCAGCCCAATCTTGTATTTTATTTAGAGATAGGGTCTTACAGAGTTGTTTAGTGCCTCTCTTTTGCTGAGGCTAGCTTTGAACACATGATCCTCCTACCTCAGCCTCCTGAGCCACTGGGATTACAGGTGTGTGCCACCACTCCCAGCCTGGTTTTTATTTAAATAAAAAGAAACAAAAATACTTGGGTTATGTTTTTGGTATGTATGTGTGCAAGTATAGGTGTGTGCGTGCATTCATTTGTGTGTATATTGGGAGTGATGATGCTGGGGCTGTAGCCCAGGGCCTTGAACATGTAAGGCAAGTGCTCTATCACTGAGCTACACCCAGCTTGTAGTATATTTCTTCAGACCCTAGTTTTATTTTAAATGCTGAAAGCATAATTCATCTATGTCATTGTCTTCCTTAACTATCCCAGTGCCCTCAAATTTTGGGTCCCCACATTTAGGCTCCTTTCCCTTTTGCCTTCTTCTCAGAAAGGAGGCTATTATCCAATTCTATGATATAAAACCTTGATAAATCTGTTATAATTTGTTTCATTTTACATATAGGTGTAATAAGGATTTTAGAATTATACTCCTTTTACCTCAGTTTTGACTGTGAAACTAATATAAGAGACAGCACATGTCAGAGTGGAGGGAGAAAAAATCCAAATATGCAAATTTTGAAGGAGAACTTTTTAAAGATGTTTCTATAACCATTCAAAGTTCTCACACTTTCAGACATTATAAGGAGCTGGGATTGGGCGGGTATATAACTCAGTGGTAGAATGCTTGCCTAGCATCCATGAGGCCCTTGGTCTATTCCTAGCACCTGTCCTACAACAAAAGACATTATAAAAAGAGGACAGAAGAGGCCTTTAGGAGAAGATCTTGGGAAAAACTGCACTATGAATTCTATGCCCACACTTAAAGCTGAGTGAGAGGTGCTTTTATGTGGCCATTTCAGGAAGAATCTGGTGTCTCTACAGAAGGAGATGCCCTGGATTGGTGCTGAATTCCTGCTTTGGAAATCCAGAAGGTGAGAAAATGCTAATCACCTTAGTCGAATTGAGAGAGACTTGCTACTATATTGCGATATTGTATTACTGTAAGAATTTATTAAAAGAAAAAATAGGTAGGAGGTACATATGGACAAAATGGGCAACACAAGAGCCATCCTGGGTAGTCCTGGGCCAAATGTGGGGGAGCCTAGAAACTTTCACAGAAAGAGGCTAATGGTATACAGCTAGATGCCTTGGGATTGAGGAAGGAGCCATAAGAGACTACTCAAGACTAGAGAATTACCAGTCAACTCACTCAATGACCTTCAGGAGAAAAAGACTAGAAGGGAAACTTGGAAAATCATTAGAAAATACCCTTAATTTATCTTCCAGCCATCCTAAGTATGTATCTTTAACCACTTGTGGATTTTGAGATAATAAAGCCATCCAGCTACATAAGAATTGTCCTACTTGTTCCTTCTTTAATCAGGGTCAAGAGGGAAACAGCAATTGGTGAATTGGGAAATACAAAAAAGGAGAAGTTAACCAATGAAGGCTATTACCTCAATGCACACCAGACCTCAGGAGGAAATGCAAATTTATGTTAAGATATAATTTCAGTAATTACATAGGCCTAGACATTTTAATTTATTAATAGAGATGATTTCTAGTAGAAAATGATTATAGGAACTTGTATTACCTAAGAGCCTACAAATTCATAGATCTGCCAAGGTCATGAGTATTTTCATTCACTGTTCTCTCCCTAGCATCAGAGCGGTTCCTAATATATCTATGAATTTCCATTCAGGGGAAGGGCATGATTATCCTCACTAAATACTAAAGGGATGAGGTGAGGTAGAACCAAAGGTGAGTTTTGATCAGAGTTTGTGTGCCATATTTACTCAATATGACTGTTGTAAATTTGAAATCTTTATTTATTTATTTTATAAAGCCCAAGTATCAGCCTCATAGTTTCAGTTGTCCAGTTCCTTTAGTAAATTATTTACACTCTGTATTTAGCCACAATTCTATTCCCTGACTCTTTGTACACTGGAAGTCCAAGCTACTCTATTTTTATGGCCCTTAACTCTCAGCAACATTGGTTCATCTGGTCTCTTTTTGCTCCCTGGTCACATCATCTTCTCTCACTGGCTGTTCCTTGTTTTAGTTATTTCTTTTAAGTGTTGGAGTGTCACAGACCTCAGTTTTGGATTCTCTTCTTTATCTCATTTATATTCCATGACTTAAATACTTGCTGGAGTAATTATATCCAAATATTTATTACTGGCTTATTACTGGTTCAGGCTGATCCTCTGTTTTTCATGTTCTTTTGGATATAATAAGCTTATACTATTAATATGGAAGAAAAATTTGATCCCCTTCCTAAAATGTCCCTATTTGAGTAAATGACACAAAATGCCACCTGACTGTACAAGTCAAAACCTGGAATCATCTTTGATTTTTGCCATTGCCCTTACACCCACAAATCCAATCCAACAGCAAGTTCTGTTAGTTCTATTGGGAGGTAGTTCTCTGTTGGTGACTCATGTTTCTATATATCTTGCAAACAGAGGCTCTGACTGTGTTCTGAACATTCTTTGCAAGGATACTTATATAGAAAGAACATTTGAAGATGGAGATAGTGCTCACTTCTATAGCCAAGGGCCATCATATGACTGTGTGAGCATTAGAGTTCAGGACCACTGCAAAGGCTGATACTGGCTATTGTTATATAAAAATTTTCAAGCTAACTTGTCACCTTATAAGTAGAGTAAAATCCTAGGCAGCCTTTGATAATTTTGCAATGAGCATGGAATGCTAATAGATAGCTTTGTAAAAAAGAAACTATGAGGGTTTCAAGGGCTGATTAATAGGATTTTAGGGAAGTCCATGAGAACCAGTAGCAAACATATTGACATGGGTGGGGTTTAAAGGCAGAGTAATAAGATGTAAGTTCAAAGATAGCTGCTGGAACAGCACCCTGTCACCAACTCCCCTCTGGGAGGAAGTGGTGAAGTGAATTCTTCCTTAGTAGAATTCAGAAAATTTCTACTGAGTGGGCACAAAGTTTCACTCCCTTTCATATTAAAGTATGCACCTATGCTGAGCCTGAAAAGAGAGATTTTCAGAAAAGACATAAACCCAGTGAATCATTTTTACTTTGGCTGGTATCCTGGGGAAGCTGAGAGGATAGGGAACATAAGACATATTGAGGAAGAATGGGCACACTGAGCCCTCTCAGGGTGCATCCTCTTCTATAACTTCACAGGGCAAGCTTAGATTCATTCCAAGATATAGTTGAAGGTCTCAGAGCTTTCTCAGTGCAACCTGGTTATAGAAAAGGAGCTTCAGTTCTCATGGTGAGACTTTCCAAAGGCAAGAAAACTCTGGGGGGAAATCGTAGGTGAGGTAGCAATTAGTATTGGGGCACTTACATATCTGAATTGGGTTTACAGTACTGGCAAAGGGTTTACAGTACTGGCTTCAATACACCTGTATTGAAGAATGAGACACAGATGCAAAGAAATCTAGATAAATTCTTGCTATCAACTGGTGTTCTGAAAAACTTCCTTAACCTTTATGTTAAAAACAAGCAAGACTCTAAGAGCTATTATTATGATGAAATAACAAATGCCCTGGATTAAAGTAGGTATCTTTAAACATTCAGTTATTGCTGTGTGGACCAAGGTCAGGTTAGTTGAAGATCACAAGCTATGAGTCCTAGGCAGAAAGCTATAGATCCTGGCTTCTGAGTCAATGTATGCCAAAGTTGAAATGAATAGTGACAGTAATAATGATCTTATCATCCAGTTTAGGCTTTTGGTTCCTCTAAAACATTTGAATCTTCCTTAGAGGAGTCACAAGTTGCTGTTCAGTGCTGAAAACTGAAAGCAAATGTGTCTTGCTTACTGTCTTGGAGCTGTCCTCTTTCCTCACCATTCCCTACTCTACCCCACTATCCACCCTGATTTTAGCTGCTTTAGGAGAAAGATGCTTAAGGTTAGGACTAGGGTTTCTCCATTAGGAAGGATGGTTGAATTCTATGTACATAAGACCAAGTTGACTGGCAAACTTGAGATGGGAGGAATTCAAGTTTTTATTCTGTATTTGGTATAGACACCTGGATCATACCCCTACTAGACTTGTCATAGGGAAGGCAGGGCAGGGACAATAGGAAGGCATTTGAGGCACTTGTTTAAGATGCAAATTTATTGGGACAGAAAAACTCAAAAAAAAACCCCACATTCTTTTAATGTAGTTTTTAAAAATTAATGGTAAAATCCATGATGAACACAATATTAATACTTTAAATAAGAATTGGATCAGTAACAGTGCCATACCATGACATATTCAATCCTAATGCAAAAAGGAAAAAAAAAAGTAATTCTGACCTTATCTTGATTACTGAGTATGCAGGTGTCCCCTAGTTCACTTTACATTGCTTTGTGGAAATTGGGACTAAGGAAATCCACACAAATACTGACACCATCACTATTTCTGTGGTTTTAAAAAAATCTTTTGTCTATGAATCAGGAATCTTAAGTCTTCTTCTAGCCTTTCTGTAACTATATGGCAGTCTAACCCTACGGATTGCACATAGAGAAAGAACTGTTCATAGTGGGGTATAGTGGTGCACACCTGTATTCCCAGTGACCCAGGAAGGTAAGGCAGGAGGATCACAAATTTGAGATCAGCGTTGGTAACCTAGCAAGACCCTGTCTCAAAAAAAAAAAAAAAAGTAAAATAAAAAGAAAAGAGCTGGGGATGTAGCTCGGGGTAAAGCACCCTTGTGTTCAGTCCCCAGTACCCCAAACCAAAAACTGAAAACCATTTCACAGTTTTTAAAGGGTTCTAGCTCCACTTTCAGTCATTCCCTTGTTAACATGATGCCCTAGCTGCTAAAGGCTTTGTTCCTACCAAAGCAGCCTAACCAGTCTCCCTATTCCTGCCTTTTCTTTTCCTTTCTGTCATACAAACAGTCATTATAGCCCCTTGATGTTTTTTCCCTAAAATGTAATCTCAGAGTCACCTTGGCTTGAAAAATTTTAAATAGTTTCCTTTTCCATATGAAGTAAAATTTAAATCTTTTTCTCTGGCCTGTGAAGTCCTACATGATCTAGTTCCTGTGCCTCTCTCATATCAAATCATTCTTCTAGTTGCTCATAAAATTGTGGCTGTGAGTGCCTTTCTTTTCTAAGACATTTTGCAAAAGTATGTTTGTACTTGCTGTTTCTTCTGCTTAGCACATAGAATTACAACTGTGGCATGAGTTAGCCTCCATTTTCACTCATTTATTATTAACTTCCATTTCTATCCTCCCCTACTCCCTACCAGACAGTAAGTAATAAAAGAGGAGGGACGTTTCTATGCTGATAGCTACATCACCAAGGTCTAAAAGTGTTCAAATATTTCACTAAAGAAGTATTATGAAATGGGCACAAGAAAAGTAGGGATGACAGATATTTTTATTTTTTATTTTTTGGAAAGAATTTGAGATTTGATACACTTTTTAAAATCACTAAAATAGGGGTGGGGATATAGCTCAGTTGGTAAAGTGCTTGCCTTGCATGCACAAGGCCCTGAGTTCAATCCCCTGCACCAAAAAAGAAAAAAAAAAGTCTTCAAAATACTCAAGTGAGTAAATTGGAATTTTACTATAAGTTACTTGAATCTTGTTACAATTCTAGAGTGACTTCCAAGGTCTCTTCCTACTATAGTAAAGTGCTTTACCTGCCCAAACCCAATACTGAAAGTATGGCTCTTTGTCTAGCAGGACTGCATTCCCAGAGCTTGTTAGAAATCCAGAATTGTGGAACCTTTTCCTTCTTACTATATTAGAATCTCATTTTTACAATATCCTCCACGTGATTTGTATTCACATTAATGTTTGAGACACACTGTGATAATTCCTTTTTCAAGACAAAATTTTTAAAAATTCCATTGCTCACCACTGCATGAGTTGGCCTGCATTTTCATTCATTCGTTATTTACTTTTCATTTCTATTTCCCACTAGACAGTAAATTACCAAAAAAGGAGGGACTTATCTACGTGAAGAGCTGTATCTCCAAGGTCTATAAGAGTAAAAATACTTTTGGAAAGTGTGAATGAACAAAATACTCAGTAATTACTCTTAGTGATTCCTTTATGGAACATTTTCCCACATAAACATAGCCTAGGTTTTATTTATGCAATTTAATATATGTACTGGATACCCAATGACTCAGTGTTTGATTCTTAACCTGAAAAGTTTTGGTTGTAATATAGCAGGAGATGACCTGGGAAATTTTTCAAAGAGCCTTTGAATTTTTGCCTTTTTACTGAATCCTTACTTGCTCTGTCTTGGATGCCTGCACTAGTTCTAGATTCTTCTTCAAATCTGTCCTTCACGTTTGAGATAGATAAGTTTGTGGTACAGTATCAAGGGCATGGATTTGGATCAGAAAAAACTCGTCCTATTATTTCTTAACTGTGCCACCTGGGAAGTTAATTATCCTCTGAGTTTGTTTACTCATTTCTCTGATGGATAATAAAATTTGCTTTTCAGGGTGTTAATGAGGATAAGTGAACTCATGTATGCAAAGCACCCAACAGAGTAAGTTGATCAGGAAGGAAGGAATTGTGAATACTTGCTCTCTTACCTTTCATCATGTCTCTTTTTGTCTAAATATCAACCAACCAAAAGAAATTAAGAAAAATTTTTAAGAACTCAAGATTCAAAGCCCTTAATCATCATCTAAATGAAATTCCCTGCTGGTATAATCTGGCCAAATTGACAATTCCCATTCAGTTTTCAATAGACCCACCCTCCCTGCAACTCATTTTCCAATGAGTAGGACAAATATAACTGCCTTCTGGTTTGATTTATTCCTGTCATGTCTCAGCCTTCCTTAACTGTACCTGTCCACCAAGGTATGGGGTAAAATCCTACATCTTCAAGAAGTATCCCTGGAGAGACTAAGCTCTTAATGATCTGTTTTTTGAAATCCAGAGATATTGAGTTTGTATCATCAGTTTAATTATAAACTATTCTATGTTAATCCCAAATTATTTCATGCTTGGTCTCTTCAGCATATATGAAATGTATATTCCTTAAGATCTATAGGCATGAATGAGTGTGTAAAGACCAAAGATGGGATAGGGCATTAAAATACATTAACAGTAGTCTTTTAATCCTCAAACTCTGAAAATTCAAACTCTCCTGTGGTTCATATATTCTTTCCTTTGATTTTGCTGATCCAGTGCAAATGTTAGCTCTTAAAGATTTTCAATTTTTTTTTATGGTTAGTCTTAAAATGTTTGGCCATTACTCCAAAGCTGAACTTAGGGTCTCAATTTTTATCATTCATTCATTAGTGCACTCTACAGGTTTGATTCACATAGTTGTGAATAATTTAAATAAACTATATGTGTTAAGTTTTGCCAATTTCTTGATCCAATGCTTTGAATAGATTTTTCTTCCTTTGTCATTTTCTTTTGATTTTTTAAAAAAGTATTTTAATTGACAAAAATTGTGTATGTATATCACATACAATATGATGTGTTCAAGTATGCAATACTGAAGAAGGGTTAAATCATGTTAATTGATATGCAATATCTCACATACTTACCATTGTGTGTGTGTATGTGTGTGTGTGTGTGTGTGTGTGTGTGTGTTGAGAACACCTAAAATCTCAGTCTCTTAGTGATTTACTAAGGATGATATAGCCACCATAATATTTTGAATTTTTTCCTTTTTATCTGGAATTTTGTATCTGCTTTGTCTTCCTTTTGGGATGCAATTTTTAGGTTTTGGCAATGTAAGAATTGCTGGCAAACAGAAGATCTGGGGGTTATTATACCTATGGGGCATTTCATTTTGTGAACTCATGGTATAACTAGGAAACTAGTATGCTTCTGGAAAATTTTAATCTCTGAGGACTTAAAAAATATAGTGAAAAAAAACCAATTGCCCAAGGAGAAAAATTCTTATACTTACCCAGTGTAAGATACTAAAGTCAGAATTTTTAATGTTAAAAATAACTAATGAATGGTTTAAACAGTTTGGGAAATTATGATGGAATGATGAGTTTACTTTTAGAAGAGGTGGTAATTATATGGGAGTCCAGAAATTTAAACTGTATGACTTACATAGGTAACTTGTACATGCACAGTAAAATATTTGAGTATTTCATGGGTTCTTGGTCTCTATATACACACACATAACATATTTGTATGTGAAACTAAAGTTTTAGAAAAGGCATAGCAAATTAACATTACATATTAATCTGTTTTAGAGAAGTAATAAAGCATAATAAAATGTTTCAATCTTTAAACTGGTTCTCTATTAATGTCACAAGTGTGTTTTTAATTTGTAGCTAAGTTCTCTTCTGTCTAATTGAAGGATTCTCATTAGGTTCTTAGTGATTATGTCTTATTTTCTTATAAATTGCTTTTAAAATTTAATTTAAAAATTCATGTGTATGTATTACATTTCCTTTACTACTAAATTATAAATTGCTTGAATGATAGCATTTACATTTATTTTCTCCACTGTGCCTAGCACAGTGCTCTGAACAAGACACATTCTAATGAAATGCTTTAAAAACATACTTGATTAAGTTTTACATATAATCTCAAGGTTCATCTTGGCATTTGCATTTATTCAGTTTACTCCTGAGATGAAATAAAAACGTTCTATTTTCACTTCTACACTCTGCAACATTGACAAGGTAAAACAACAAAGGAATGAAGAAACTAGTTAAAACAAAGAAAAGAAAAAAGCAATCAATAACTTACTCTATAGTCACTCGATGTCACATAAAATATAGGGAGGAAGGCCAACCAGATGATGCAGGTGGTGTACATGGTAAAACCTATGAACTTGGCTTCGTTGAAGTTTTCCGGGCACTTCCTTGTTTTGAAGGCATACACAGTGCATAGAATCACCAGGATCACATCATAGGTAAGAGAGATCAGCATGCTGGAATCTCTGACATTGCATTTTAAGATGACTGTTTCCCGCTTCTCTGGAAGAGTATACCTCCTGGTGCCTGGAGCCTCCAGGATGAGCCACACAGACACTACTATAATTTGCACCAGTATCAGACCCAGGCAGATGAAAACCTGTGAACTGGGGCTGATGAATTTGGGCCTCTGAGCGCCATTCTTGACCCCATCGAAGATACGGGCGATGCAGTTTGTCTTGGTCAGCAGAGCTGAATAACAGACAGCAAAGGAAGTCCCCAGCCCCAGCCGGCGCAAAGCACAAATGACAGGTGATGGTTTGGCAATGAAGAAGAATGTCATGCAATATGACAGGCTAACCCCAAACAGCAAGATGTAGCAGAGTTCCCGGCCTGATGCTTTGACCAAGGGTGTGTTGTTGTGCTTGATAAACACAGTTATAACCATGCACGTACACATAAACCCCAGGCAGGCAATGGAGACTGGGCCAATGGCCCAGGCATCTTCCCATCTGATGTAGTCCTCAGGAAGATCAAAGCATCCAGATAAGTCTGCAGTGGGCCACTGCCCAGGCCCACAGTCCATACAGGTAAACTCATCAATCAGGTATTCGTAAGGCTCACATGGGATGCAAATCCAGCAGCAGACATCCCCTGGTTGCATGTTCTTCATTTCATTGGGGGCACAGGGGTCGCTGCACTGGGAAGTGGGGATTGAGTTCCGGGACCAGTGGATAGAGTCAACATCTAATGATAAGGTTTCTGCCCAGTGACCAACCTTCAAGTAGGAATACTTTCCACCCACAAACTGGAAATTGAACACGTTGTATCGTCCCATTCCATCTCCAAAAGTGTCAAACTTGACGATGCTATCTGCACCTTTATTTGGGTTGAATGGAGCTGTGATAGGTAAAATGAAAGAGAAAAAAAGGAACACTTGTTTAGGTGTCTTATATGTGATCAGTCAATTGCTTTATGTCACACACTTAGCAAAGTTGCAGTAACAGAACAGAGACTCCAAGGCTGACATAATTCATCAGTTAACATTGAAAATTACACATCAAAAGCTACTAGAGTACTTATGCATTCATAAATTCACTTAACATTACTGAGTGTCTAGTGGGTGCCAAATGCCAGTGATAAAAATGAGTACAATACAGTGCTGCCTTCAGAGGAGCTTATTGTGTAACAGAGGAACTGGCAAACAGGTTGTCATCCTGTGTGTGGTGTGCAAATATTCTTTTCTTGAAATATTTCTCAATGGGAATAGGATATAATCTCATGTCTCATTACATATTATGTATAGCTATCCAAATGTTTCTAATCCTTGTGGGGTATGTTGAAGTATGCCTATAATCCCAGTGACTGGGAAGACTGAGGCAGGAGGACCACAAGTTTGAGGCCAGGCTCAGCCACTTAGCCAAGACCTTGTTTTAAAATAAAAATAAAAAAGGATCTATGGCATACTCAATAGTGGAGTGTCCTGGATTCAATCCTCAGTACACCCTGCCCCCCCCACACACAAATTTCACATCTTAAATATTTGCATGAAGTTATAAAAGTAATAGAATTTCAGAATAATTTAGGAAAAAATTTCTCATTATAGATGTATGATATAATTCTTTTAAAAAGTTCAGATGAATCACGGAGAAAAAAAATTGACACACACTAGGATTTCTTCAACCCTAATATTTTAATGTCTTAGAGTATATTTGTCCAAAACAGTAAAATGTTATATTTACTGTTTTGGAGTATATTTGTATGTATCTATATATAGCATATTCCCTTCTACATAAACACCTAGGTATCTTAAAGTTACCAACAGTATGTAGGATCTAGTTAAATATCTAGGTTAAAGTTTGTTCCTTAGTGGGAAGGGTCAGCAGCAATCTGTAAATTGGTCCACTCTCAATGCTGTCCCTTTCCTATCTTTCCCTGAAAGTCCTTCAGAGCAGCAGGTCTCTGAACACTTCTGTTGCAGTTTGTCATGTCTCTCTCGCTGACATCTGTTGCCACCTTGATAATCTTCTTTTTTTGTACTGGGATTTGAACTCAGGGGCACTTAACCACTGAGCCACATCCCCACCCTGCTTTTTATTTTTTTTAATTTTGAGACAGGTCCTTGCTAAGTTGCTGAGGCCAGCCTCAAACATTTAACCCTCCTGCCTCAGCCTCTCAAGTCGCTGGGATTACATGTGTGTGCAGCACATCTGGCCCTGATCACCTTTTTGTTTAAGTTTCTCTAGTGCAATTTATTCTTAGTACACCTTAGTTTGCAGTATTAAGTGTCATAGAAATGTTACACTCAAGTAATAGAGCTCTAGAGAAAGACATTGACTCAGAAGGGAAGTTTCATTTAATATGTCAGTTTCTGAGTTAGCCTGCTGACTTCCCAACTGTGGATGCTAGGTTGTGGTTATTAGTGTGTAATTGTCTTCATGATGTGCCTGAAGCTTTCCATTTGGCTGAGGTCAAGTCGGTGAGTCTGTGATCACTTATTTTTATGCCACCTCCTCTGATCCACTGTGTGCTTACTATTTCACACTGCCTGTCTTTACTCTTTCCTGGGACTTAGAAGAGGAATTGTGCCACAGTTTCTGTGGTATACAGACACACATAGTTAGGACAGGTTTGCCAAGGTGATACTTCCTTGTGAATACATGGAACCGGCAGAGTAAGAACAAGATATTTATAAGTTGACCCAGTACATGCTAGAATTTTGCGTATGGTAAAGGTGGCATCTCAAACAAGTAAAGAAATTTAATACACAATATTAGGTAACTGTTTGGTGAATTGGAAAAAAGTTGAATTGGTATTTCCTACCTTATACCCAAATTAGTTCTGAAAGGATCACAGTTTTATACATGAAAAATAAAACCATTATAAACTGCTAGAATTAAAACAGGCAAATTAACATCAGAGTGGGAGAAATTCTTTTTAACTACTACCAAAAGTGCAGAAACATTACAAAACGTAACCATATAAGTTAAAAAATCCCAATTAACAACAAATATAACAGAAAGCACAAATTTCAACTCATATTGAAGAAAATGGGCAAATTTCTAATATTTATATATATAAATATTATATATATAAATATTAGATTTATATTTATATATAATATATATATATAAATATATAATGGATTCTGATAACACAATAGTCAAATTATCAAAGGATATGAAAACATATATCATAAAAAAGGATAATAAAGTGATTCTTAAACATGAGACTATGCTTAACAGTGGTCAAAATATAGAAAATGCAAACTGTCAGAGGCAAAATAATAGTCCTTCAAAGATGCTTATGTTCTTATCTTCCAGAGCCTGAGAATGTTATGCTAGCCAACAATAAAGAATTAAGGTTGCAGATGGAATTAAGATTGCAAATCAGCTGACTCACAGTAGGTAGATTATTTTGTTTTATCTGGATAAACTCAATGTAATGAATCAGGATCCTTAAATATGAAAGAAATAGGCAGAAGTGCCAGTGTCAGAGTGATGAATAGGAGGAGGGCTAGATTGACCTTGCTGGCTTTGAATATAGAAGGGTCTTTGTATATGGGCAGCTGATAGAAATGGAAAGACAGAAAAATGGATTCTGCACTTGGGCCCTCAGAAAGGAATGCAGCCCTGTGGGAACTTTGCTTTTCAGCCCAGTAACAACCATTCTGAACTTCTAACCTCCAGAAATGTTAAATAATAAGTGTATGTTTCTTTAAACCACCAAGTTTGTAGCAATTTGTCACAGCAGCTAAAGGAAACTAATATGCAGTAGAACTATTTTGCATTTGCAACATGTATTCTATTAATTAGATTATAGTGAAGCAGGAACTCTTACCCTGCTCTTGGGTGTATAAATTTGTTTACCTCTACCTGAGGATACTGACAAGATTTTCAAAATGACAGATGCTTTAGCTTTTGACTCAGTAATTTTAATTTATGATATGTATTTCATAGATTTGCCTATGTGTGAATGATGTTTTATAATGTTGTTTACTGAAGTACTGTTTGTAATAGAAAAAAAAGTTGCAAATGGCCCAGTTGTTTATCAATAGATTGCATTAATAATAAATACAGCAGAACATTACCTAGGTATGAAAAGAAATAAGGAAGTGTTTGGTGTTGTGAAGTATGGACATGATAAAAAACCTAAAAGTCACATTGCTATGTGTAACAAAAACAAAACAAAACAAAACAAAAAAACCACAGGTGTTCAATTTGTTATGTATTAAATAAATAGGGAAAACAATATATTCTTCTTTTCTATGTATAAAAGAATTCTGGAAGCATGCCTAAGATTAGCGGTTACCTACAGGCAAGAGATGGGGGGAGCAGACAGGCTTCCTTGTAAGAAAAAGATATTTATAAGTGACAGGGTAGTGAAGCAAAGATAGGAGAGAAACTTTAGTGAATGTCCTCTCATACTTTCTACATCTTAAAGCATTCAGATATTTCATTTACTCAAAAATTAAATAATTAAAAAGAAAACTTAAATGGACAAATATAACCAGGCACTTTAGCAGACTTCTAATCTGAAAGAGAGAGACTGGGAAAAAATATCCAAAGCAAAACAGAGAAGAAACTTAGAGAAAATAGAGAGGATGCAGGGAGGAAAGACAAAGCCTTTAAAACATTAATATATCCAGAGAGAAGAATGAAGAGATTATGTCTCTGAGATAGGTGCAGGATCATCTCAAAGAGGTATAGAGAATAAGAATGAGCTTTTGGAAATGATGTAGCAAAAACAGAAATTTCATATAAGGATTGAAAGATTAATATGAGCAAACTCTTGAACTTTGAACAAAATTCTTGGAACAAATTAGAAAATATAATAGGAAAAGGATCACACTGGAATTTCAGCATTGAACCAACAGAAAGAGAACACAGAGGATATTTCAAGAGTCAAAAGGCACACTTGTGGGCACTGGACATGGTTTGGGGAAAGGTGAGGCAAAAGACTTTTCTTTCTCTAAAATGTCTTATATTAGTAAAAATCATGTCCATGTCTTATTTTGCAAAAAAATAAGGTTAAAATAGAATCATTGAGCAAGGTCAGGCAGAACAGTTTATAAAGTACATAAATCATGAAAATAATACTGCTGCAAATATAACAATTTCTTGAAAATTATAACAATGCTTGAGAAGCATTTGTGATACAATATCATTTTGTGATGAATAAATAAATAGTACTTCGGGTGGAATGTTATTGTTTAATAAATGTTTACCCCTCATGAAATTTATTTGGTTGAATTGTAAAATATGTAACAAAATGTGGTCCAGTGTCTAAATCCTTTAGGACACAGCCACATCAATGTTTACAGCAGCACAATTCACAATAGCTAAACTGTGGAGCCAACCTAGATGCCCTTCAGTAGATGAATGAATAAAAAAAAAGTGGCATTTATACACAATGGAATATTACTCAGCAATAAAAAAGAATAAGATCATGGCATTTGCAGGGAAATGGATAGCATTAGAGAAGATTATGCTAAGTGAAGTTAGTCAATCCCCAAAAAAACAAATGCCGAAGAATGTCTTCTCTGATATAAGTGGGGTGACTCAAAATGGGGTTGAGACGGAGAGCAAGGGAGGAAGATTACCTCTAGATAGGGAATAGGTGTGGGAGGGAAAGAGAGAGAGAAAGGGAATAGCATGGATGGTGAAAGGAGACTCTCATCATTATGCAAAATACATGTATGAAGATGTGAATTTGGTGTCAACATATATAATCAGAGATATGATAAATTATGGTATAATGGTATATTAAGAATTGTAGTGCAAAAATAAATTTAAAAAAAATAAAGTGGAAGAAGAAATCATAAAAGAATTGCAATGCAAAAATAAATAAATAAATAAATAAATAAATAATATAAAATACATTAAAATACTTCAAATAAA